TTTACATCAGTAAAACTAGGAAACACAAAACATTGTTAAGTGAACCAGCTAGGCAGCAGGCGAGATAAAGAGATAATTCTCCAGGACTAAATAAATAAAACTAAAAACTAAAATTATAAGAGTATTTGAGAATCAATCCACAAAAACATCATCTCAACCGAAACGCGTACTGGGTCACAAGATACGTTTTAGCTAAATTGATCAGTAGGCATTCAACCGTTTCGCGGATCCCTCGATTCCTCCATATCAGCTTGAACAAAAATATCCGCCGTTTTAATTTCACTCATAAGTTTATTAGCAAAACCAAACAAAAACCACAACAATTGAGTAATCAACAAATGCTCTCGAACACTTCTCTGCAAGCGTTGCATTCATCCCAAGCTGTATTGCTTCCAAGAGCAAAAGCAGAAGCATTTGGTTTCAAGTTCAACTTATACTAGTGTAGCATGAGCAATCTTTTTTTTGCTCGCGTGTAAGCTCCAGAGTGAAACAAGTAAAACAAGTTTGTACATGAAAATGTACAAGAGATTGCGCGCTTTCAGGCTACATCATTATCTTCAAAAATAATGAGCAAAAAATCAAAGAGCCGTGAACCTGAAAAAAAAACGGCGGTTAATTTTCGTTCAACCTAATACATAGGTAATGTAATAGGTAAGGAGCTATCTTACTGTTTGTTGAAAATCTCTACTCGTCCTGTGGCTATCGATTTCGCACCATAGAGAATCGATACTCATTTTAATGTATTAATGTATTTAAAGTGGGTTGAAATTTTAAATTAACTACAACGCGATTTCTTTGCTTTTTTGTCGCGTGAGACGGTACGACTTGGTGAACCTGGCCTTCGTGATTCCATGTACAAAAGAATGTCGCTTTTTGTGAAAAACTTTTCATATGGGCAATGCAATGAGAGGTAGGTAAAGAAAAATAATCCCTAAAGATGAGCACGGAAGGGAATTACTATCGATCCTCTTCTTGGGCTCAAGCTCCCATGAAGGCCGTCTGTTGATTCCGAAGGAATCTGATTTTCTGCTAACCTGGGGAGATATGGTACTGCAAAGATGTCTTCAGGCAAGGTACGGATCTAGGATTCATTGAAAAGTCACATTGAAGGCGAACGGAAGAATAGGTGTGACTGATTATTCTCCACATTACGCGCTGTACGACGATGGGTGACAATGATAGGACAACAAAACTTATTCACTCGATTCGACGGTGGTGACGCACTAGTCCTTAAGAATATGGTACGTCACGCTGCCTCATTGCGGCGCCGCGGTGCTGATGAAGTGTCCGTACTAGCATGTACGGATGACTGACGAGGCGATCTGATGACCAACACTGGTGTGATTTTTGTCCGATGACGAAACTACTTTACATAATAAAATGTCGGGAACAGGGACTACGACGATGATGATGGCGTAGTGGAACTCCGCTGAGCACTCATTTCATGAATCAGATCAGAAGCCGTGGTCAGCACGGGAGCTGCTTATCGTCTTGGGCTGGCGAAAAACAATAATGGGGAAAATGCTACCTCAGCACAATCTCCCAGTTTCAGACGTTTTTGGCAAAAAAATTCGGGAAAAATCTGGTTATTGCGATACTGTTTTTTTTCATGCTAATCGGGGCAAGTAGGTTCGCTATAAGAGCTTGAGAAAGAGTAATACTGCAATCGTAGGTTGGATGAGGTGTTGGCGCTTTTCGAGAGCTAGCTGATGTACCTACATATCCATATTTTTATCCTTCCAGACATAACTGGTATAATTTCAACGATTTGGGAGGGATGGTAGGCGTGGTTGACCCAGACGGCGTAGGTTCAGAACTTGATTCTCGGACCATGCGTGTGGTGAGGTGAGTATAGGAGATACGACAGAAAGCGACTTTTTCGCTTCTTCTAACGCGAAACTTTCTCATTGCGCGGATTCCAGGTCCACTCATCTTTAACAGTCCAACATTGCGCACACTTCGCACTGAGGGAAGCGAAGAAGTCGCCTTCCATCCTAGCGACCCATACCCGGTAAGGCGGAGTCGCTTGCCACTGCACTACTTCCGCCCCTCAAGTTTTGCATAATTGGAACATTTATTGCTTCAACTGAGCGGCGTCTTCAGGAATTTAAATTCCTACGGCACGGGCAGAAAATTCGCTATCACACTAAAGTGTTAGTCAATACAAGTGGGGTGCTTACCACGCTTGCGGTCTGAAGATCCAATCCTGGATCGTACGTCCGTCTAGGCCAACCGTACTTCCCATTTCTTCGATTGGTGGATTGGCCTCAGACCTGTCTGGAAGGATAAAAAAGACTTGAACATCGGCTGGCTCCTCAAGTCATTGTATAGGCCAATATCGCATTCAGAGTGCCACTACTATTCCGAAATGGAAGTAGAATTTGTGGCGCATCCAGTAAGGGATTGATCAACGTTGAATGCATTGAAACTTATGCTGTAGTAACAAGTAATTTGCAAACATATCAACTTTCAAGGCACAACAGATACTAAGTAATGCATACATATTATGCCCAAGTCGATATCCGAAAGTTGGGGTGGCGTGTCACCGGAAGTGACGTGCACTTGATAGAAGTTGCGTGGATAAGCTGTTGCCAGCATGCTTTGCTGATATCCAGCGATGTATGTTGGAAGCAGCTTATCCACATAGCTTCTATCAAGTGCACGTCACTTCCGGTGACACGCCTACCCCAACTCCCAGATATCGAGTATACAAGAGAGGAAATCTGGAGAATAGTTCTCGAAAGGGTATCAAGTATAGTGGTGAACCCTTCTGATAATGTACTTTATTTAGGTCCCACCTTTGCGCATCTCCCTTCCCATAACGCAGACAGAGGAAGAAATGCATGGAGAGCAATCAAGCCATCAGGTTCTTATTAGATACCTTTGTGGAATGTTATGAGCAATGGTATTGTATATTTCCTTTCTCAGATGTCATCAGGACATCTCAGTTCAAATCGTAAAGGTCAACGTGGACGCCATGGTAAAAGGCATAATGATGCCGATGAAGCACAGAGGATGACCCGTAGTAAGGTGGGATAAGATTTCTATAGCTATATGGTTATCCTATGCCTAATTGTTCCTTAATTCCTCAATTTGCTGAATACCAGGTAAGGCAAACGGGCAAAGCATTGGATGACACTGATGCTTGGTCAAAGAAGAAAAGGGGACGTGCGAATGCAATTACGCTTACAGCACAAGGTGATGAGGTACGATAATGTTCTGTCTTGGACCACCATGATTCTGTAGCAAACATGCGTATACTTGTCAATTTGGTACAGCTCATGTGAATAATCGCTTCAAGGCTGATGAGTCGATCGCTGATG